CTGATCAAGCAGCAGATCAAGCTTTGGCAAACGGTTCGCTCTCTTTGACTGCGATATTTCAAGCTCTAGACAATGGTTTTGGGCTGCAACGGTTGGGGTCCGGTGGGCGACCCGGGTCAAGCTCGAGCTCTGGTTCGTTTTCTAGGCATTGCCGGTACCATCCTCTCACAAGAAGCAGAAGCAAGCACCGGTAGGTGGTTCCCTCTAATCTTGTTCACCATGTTTAGATGCAAATCCCAAGTGTTTTTGCTTTCCTTTTTTCCTTTTTTCCTTTTTGGTTGTTTTGGTCTCTGAAGGAGAAATCAAGATCACTGGATCTTTCATGAAGTTGGGATTGCCAAGGAATCCTCAGAACCCAAATTGCAGCAAAACCTGGAACATTGGTTTCAGGGAACGCTCACCGCGTTCCTTGTTGGGAAAAACAGGGGAGGATCACCGGAAGAAAACAGCGTAGTCTAGATTTTCAATTCTAGTACTTTATATCATAGGTTTTTAGTTCAATTCGAAGGATTCAATCTAGAGGTACTTTTAGAGACTGAGGATATACAGATCACCAATTTCACTGGTTGTGGATTTATACTTGCTTAAATCCCTGTCAATTGTTGGTCCTTACCATGGCCTGAGAAGTGGTTTCTCAAGTAGTTGGTTTTTCTTTTTTTTGGCGTAGCTAGGGAGCAAGTTCTGTAAACAATCTCTGAACTGCAGCTCGATTGGCACTCTGGTATGGCAAGAAGAAGCAGCATGTGATTTTGGGTGAGAGCTTATCCTGTTCCAACTGGAATAAGGGTAGAATTTACTCCTCTTTAGGCATGCATATGGTTTCAAATTGGTGGAAGTGTGACTAGATCCAAATACCCAAGTGCCAGAATATGAGAGGATATAGAATGTTCCCGTATACACACACCAATTGGAAGATTTTGGCACCTGGAAATTAAAAGAAAAGGAAACGACTCTCCTTGTGGATCTAAGAATGACATTCAACGAGTTTGGAATTGAATATGTTCAAACATTTAAGGCTTTTAGGCTAATTAGAATGGTATGGAGGCCCAACTAAGAAATTCTATGATATTCACAGCGAAGTAGACTCCAATAGTCATTCACTGGCCCCCAAGCTGCTGCATTAATCCTTACCCTTGATATATTTCATAATCTATAACTCCCTGGACTTGATGAAAATTACAAAGTAAATTTGTAAAGTGGGGTAGAATAAGTGAACCGATAAATGAACTGATGAGTTATATACCTATAGCTTCGCCGGTTTAATTCCCGGTTCAGTTTGATAACTGTGGCTTCTTCTAGTTATGAAGCCGAATTAGACAGAAAAGCTCGTCACCTCTCTCTATCATACTATGGGGTAGAAGGATGCCACTTGTTTTAAGCACACCAATTATTCTTTTCCCAAACACGGTCTAAAAGCAACACACTCGTTTGGAGGCTTGTCCACATTGGGGACCCATTCAATTAAAGAGCCTTCCTCTTTTACCCTCCCTCCCCCCCAACTAAGGGTTCCTGCAAACTTCGTTTTGACTCCATGTTCCATGTTTTGTAGATCAGTCTTCACCCTGGTTTTGAACGTTTGACTTATAAAAGTCCTTTTTACTCCTCTCGATGGAGAATAGGAAACTGTGATGAAATTATTTACATGCATAGTCCACTTTCTTGGTAAAACGTTGTCATGCTTTATGAAATACCAAAGAGAAGAGACAGGCAGAGCTAAATGCATGCATGCTCAATCTGTCACAAAAGCACTCAACAGGAGAGGAATCTGGTAACTGAACTCTTTGATTTCTTTCCTGCATGTGAATCAGACATATGAGAAATGAGTTCGCCTCCCTATGTCCTGTTCAGTCGCTAGAATTTTTCTTTCAATTTTTCGAGAAGTAATCTTACAAAATATTTTTATTTTCATTTTACACATTATCAATTGTCATGTTTTATATCTCTACATTTCCATTCTTTTTGGCAGTTTTATATTCCTTTTTCTTTCATTTACCCTCACAACCAACTTACCAAACTATACCAATCCCAATAGAATATAAAATACATAACCATCCACTTCACAGTACACATAGTAGAATCCAATCTAAAAATAATAAAAGAGCAATTTAGAGTACAAAAGTGGGTACAATATAAAACAAGCCCTACGTCCATCAAAATTAGCAAGGATTGGCTCTGACATCAACACTATCTGGAATACGGAAGGTCAACCCTATCTGGAAAGATGATAAAGAGTAAGTCGTTAAATTTAGTAAGTAACAAATGATACCTATTCTAGCCATGCTACAATATGTACCACAACATATATCAAAACATACGTAGATATATATACACAGTGAGCAGTACAAGTACATCAAATCTTAGATGCGAGAGTATCATCATATATCACGGCAGAATGTATCATGCCCGAAACACCACAGTCTCACACCGGATTTAAGGCACCACCACTGAACACTACGGATCACCATCCTTCAGCACGAGCCCCTAACGTCCCAATCTTATCACGATAGTGCGCAACATGTCTAAGGCACCGCAGCCTCATATTGAACTTAGGGCATTCGCTACTAGATGTTACGGATCATAGTCCCCTAATGCAAGCCCTTAACGTCCCAATCTCATCACATGATACAGCTTCTAACAAATTTACAATAAACATTTCACATATACTGTTCATATATCAATGTATAGATGTCAAAACATGTGATATCAAGACTCACTATTATTTAAAAACACATCAATACATATCCTAGAGATTTCGCATATATCAAAATACAGTATCCATCAAAATCAGCATCCATGCTATAAATAACAATTAAAAAACACGTGTAAAAAGGGTATCATCACTTACAGATTAAAACCAAGTAAAAACCTGAGTCGCCCGCCACAACTCAACGGTCACCGTGCGTCTTTGCTGGTGTATCTACAACCACAATAGCATACAATTAAATCCAACACTTGAACCAACACAAAAAAGGACTTGGCCATCCAAAATGGGGCTCTAACCCCATTCCAGAACCCTTGCACACATCTCAAGGCTCATTTCCATCACCTGGAACCCACACAACTCAAGAACACACATCTATTTTTCTTAAAAACTCTTAAACCATGATGAACCGGTCTCCAAAACCCTTGAATCGGCCTTAAACTCCCTTAAATAGGCTTGAACCGACCATGAACACCTCATAACCGAACTGAATCGGCCTCAAATACCTTAGAGCTAGACTAAACCAGCCTTAAAACCCTTAAACTAAGCTAAACCAAGCCATTTGCACACAAAATTGGCTTAAATAGCACTAAAGTGGCAGGTTTTCTGATGAACCAGACTTCCCAAAGGTGTGAACCAATCTAACCTTCTTGGAACTGGTCAAAGTTTCCACTAAACCAACTAATTTCTCACTAAGCCAGCCCTTGAACCATTTCTTTCCTTAATTAGGAACCCTAAATACCTTATCCCTGTCCTAGTTATCCCAATCCAATTTCATTCTATTCTACCCCTAAGATAGCATATCCCATAATCCATCTACTGAGTTGACTCATGGAGTCAATTCATTGATTCTGGCCACTAGACCGAGTTGACTCGCTTAGAACTTGGCCCAACCCAAACACCTTGGGCTGGTCCAATTGTCATGGCCTAAACCCACTAGCCTAGCCCAACCGGCCGAGCCCAGGCCAATTGTCTAACCTAGCCCACTCGAGCTAGCCCAGGCACAACAGGCTGGCCTAGCCCAATTGGACCTACCCAACCAAGCTCAACTTAGCTAAGTCAAGTCAATGAGCCAAGTCAACTTGGCTGAACCAACTCAGTACAGACCCAGATACCATTCGAGTCTGTCTTCCTCACTCGACAACCCGACTTCCCAACCTGGTTCTCAACCTAGGTCTATAACACGTACCTGACTCCCTTAAACCCAAAAATTTCATAGTTTTTTGACATGCCTTGATCAATTGACAGCCAAAGGTTGTAGAACTCAACTACACGAACCACTCTACAACTTTTAATCGGAACAAAATCAATCAAAATAGCTTCAAAAACCCAGAAAATCCACTTCGGCCACTCACGGACCGTTGGGCCGAAACAAGACAAATTTCTCTCCAAATCTTGAAATTGTTTGAGGGCAAACTTTCCTTGGCTTGCGTTGCACACCAATACCAGCTTTTAAGCCAAAAATCGGCCACCATGATCACGGTATGGCCTTCCCACTATTTGGTCACTGTTGGACCGAACCCGCAGGTTTTGTTCTCAATCCAGTCACTCAACTTTAATTTCTTTCAATCTCACCCCCTGTAGTTTAGATTCTGTCCCTGCCTCTTTTATTTTCTTCAATATGACCCATGACAGTTTCAATTTAACCCTAAACGTCTTGATTTCTCAAATTCGCCCCTAATTCTTATAATTTCTTCAATTCCCCCTTCTAGAATTACGATTTGAGCCCCAACTTCTTTTAACTTGAGCAACCCTAAACTTAATTATTAGCTAAAATCTTAAAAAATTTTATAATTAGGGTTATTACATTTAACAAAAACAAGCACCAAGTATGGTATTAAAATGTCCATGTCTCTGTTTGCTTCCATCTTCTTCTCAATCGCCAAACAATTCAGTATCACTACTTGATGTCAAGTAGAATCAAACATACTTGAGTAATGCTCAAATTAAAAATAAAGACAAGCTTAGCATGTCATATTAATTTTTTTAAAAATCCACTAAAGTCTAAGGCGGGTTTTTAACTTTTCACATTTGGATATCTCCACGCAGATTGTGCCGAGAGCACTTTGAACAACTTCTTAGAGAATTGTAGGAAACTAAAATATTTTATGTTATTTTTTGGTTCATACAAATCAACTCTTGACAATCTACCTAATAATGTTCAATTTAATAGCTCGGCACTTAACAGAACAATAACTGGGATACTGTCAATTGGCCACATACAGTCATGTTATCTGGTTTGATTTAGTATATTATGATATGCATAAACTAACTTCTGGACCTTCTGATCTCTCCAGGCAGCAGTTCTAAAGCTACAAAGACAATCAAATTAGGTAAGAAATCTCTCTTCTAGATCACTGATGATTTGAATTTGTCACTGGAAAGAATTATATAATTACTTTTCTTCCATTTCCAGCCTTTTTTATACCAGGTGCAATCCTTGCTGGTATTGTCATGGGATGGATTATATTCGCTTGTAGACATTGGGGGAAGCGCAGACCTAGGAATGATGACCAGTCATGCCCAGCTGAAAGCCAAAGAAAAGATATTCCATCTCTTTCTCTAAAGAAGAAAAGCCTTACTCCTACTACTTCAACCTACGTCTTCCCAAGTACTCCACCTGTTTCCTCTTCAAATTCTGATGTTGGAAAGGCAAGTTCCTATTTTGGAGTGCAGATCTTTACCTACACCGAACTTGAAGAAGCCACCAACAATTTCGATCGTTCAAGAGAACTTGGAGGTGGAGGCTTTGGCACTGTGTACTATGGTACATGACTCTTTTCATGTTCTTATAAATCTACATAGCTAAACACCCAGGGTTTATTTGATGATGCCATTTAAGCATATTTTCAAAATCAAGCGCATTCAGTTTACAGTTATAAATTATTGAAATCTGAGAAGTGGCTGAAAATGGATTAAGTTTTAAGTTCAAACTGTTTCACTTGTTACTATGTAGATTTTGGAGAATTCAGTACTAAAGTATTTTAATACTTAAAGTTTTATCAAACAAGATCTAGTATTCGATTATCCTTTCTTAGTTTTTCTAGTTCTTGAATTGTCCTTTGAATTGTTGGCCAGGCAAGCTCCGAGATGGCCGAGTGGTTGCTGTCAAGCGCCTCTATGAGAACAATTTCAAACGCCTAGAACAATTCATGAACGAAGTTGAGATCCTAGCAAGGCTGCGGCACAAGAACCTCGTCACTCTATTCGGGTGCACATCACGGCGGAGCCGAGAACTCCTCCTTGTTTATGAATACATTCCCAATGGAACTGTGGCCGATCATCTCCATGGGAAACGTAAAAATTCCGGTTTGCTCTCTTGGCCCATCAGGCTAAACATTGCCATAGAGACGGCTGACGCTCTCGCTTACCTCCACGCATCTGATGTCATCCACCGTGATGTCAAAACCACCAATGTTCTCTTGGACAATGATTTCCATGTCAAAGTAGTCGATTTTGGGCTCTCACGGTTGTTCCCAAATGATGTCACCCACGTGTCAACAGCCCCCCAAGGCACCCCAGGCTATGTTGATCCGGAGTACCACCAATGCTACCAGCTAACTGAGAAGAGTGATGTGTATAGCTTTGGAGTGGTCTTGATTGAGCTTATCTCCTCTAAGGAAGCCATTGACACAAATAGAGAAAGACACAATATTAATCTGTCTAATATGGCGATCAACAAAATTCAAAACGGTGCATTGCATGAGTTGGTGGATCCAGCTCTGGGGTTTGGGACAAATAGCTCGGTGAGGAGGATGATCACTTTGGTAGCAGAGCTAGGTTTTCGATGTTTGCAAATGGAGAGGGATCTGAGGCCGTCCATGAAAGAAGTAGTGGGGGCTCTGAGAAGAATCAAGTGTGAAGAACTGAAAGCAGAACCTGGGGAGGTGGTTGAAGTTATAGTAGAAGACGATGCTGGGCGTCTAAAGGGGAACCCTCCCCCACCAGATTCTTAACCCGAGTCTAGTGGTTCAGATTTCCTTAAAATTTTGCTTCGGGGGTTAAAATGGATGGTTCGAGGGTATTGTTAGTTAATGTCTTGTTTCTGTTTCTATCTATTTGCCTCTCTTCGGTTGCTGTAGTAGAACATAGATTAGAGTGAGACATCATTAGATTATGCAAGGCTGGGAAATGTACCGTGTATAGTGAATTTGCAAAACCTAATAATGTTCATGTATGACGTTGTCCACTTTCAGTTACGGGGAAAGGAGGAAGCATGAAATCTCATGAATGTAAGTATTTTTGTCTTTTTCACCTCTTGACGCTGAGGAAACCACTCTCTCCGTCTTACAAGCACTTTGATACTCTGTTTCAAAAATCAAAAAACAGACTCTCGGGAAATGGTTTGTTTTCTAAAGCTGCTAAGGAAACCACTCTCTCTGTGCTACAAGCAAAGCTCGATACTCTGTTTTAAAAATCAAAAAACAGATTTTTGGGAAATGGTTTGCTTCATAAAAGCTGCTAAGGAAACCACTCTCTCTGTGTTACAAGCAAAGTTTGATACTCCGTTTCAAAAATCAAAAAACAGATTTTTGGGAAATGGTTTGTTCTATAAAAGCTGGTCATTTCTGTTGAAACGTGCACAACTGAATACTTAACTCCTGGATTTATCAGAAACCAACTTGTTATGAGTTTGAAAAAGAAATGGAAAAATAAAAAGAAACCAATGAAATTTCCCACGAAAAATTTCTAAAAAATTCGGCGGAGAAGGGGGGAAATTATTTCCCAAAATGGGGATCTTGTAGAAAGCATGTTCATCCAAAACACTTCTGGGTAAACGGATTTCTGGCACAGCCTTTATTTTCTCTTACTTTCAAAAACAGGAAAAACATTTTTTTAAAATGCAAACCCCTGAAATGTTTTGGCTTTATTGGAGACCTTCCAAAAAAGGGGTTGAAAAATTGAAGAAGCAAGAATCTAAAATAGATCCGTTGGTATTCATGGAAAACGAAAACCGAAGCAACTGGGAAGAGGAAAATTATTACGTTGTTGACCGTCTACTTTTATTGAATTGGACTTTTGCCTTAGAAAATTCCAGAATCATTGAACCATGTGGTTGGTCGTCCCTGTGCTAATCTGCAGCTTGGTGACATTACAGAAACATGCAAATTCTCAGAAGCAAACTGCTTCCCCCATTTCTCAGTAGTTTCATCCTAGAAATTTCCCCCACAGTGGAAACACTGTTGAGTGAAAAGGTCAGAGAATAAGGGGCTGTTTGCTTCAAAAATGTTTTTTGGGCTTTCTGTTTTCTTGTTCTCTCTCTCTTTTTTTATGTTTGATTGATTTTTAAGAAGTTGGATTTTGTTTTATTTAATTTCCAAAAAAATATATGTAAGCAAATGTAAAAAAAAGTAAAAAAATGGGTATTTAATCATTTTTCTTTTCTCAGAATGTGACCTTTTTGAATACTAAAATATCTTTTAAAAAAATAAAATTAAATTATAAAAAAGCTATTTTTTATATTATTTTCAGTTTTCCAATTTCTTTTCGAGCTAATCCCCACAATTTAAAAAGTTGAAAACTAAAAACTCAAAAAAAAAAAACCAAGGTGGACCAAAGAATTTGATAAGGAATCGGTTCTTCTTTTTTTATGTTTTTAATTTTTTATATATATTTTTATCTATTTTACGATTTAAAATGAATTTTATTCATTATACTATAACTTCTTTTAAAAATGTGCTTTCACATATTTAAATATAATTCTTTTCCATAAATATAAGAATATTTTATTACTTATATTACATTAAGTAAATTAGCTTTTTGTTCTTTAATTAACAATGAGAGCTTACAATAATTAATAACTACCAGCTTATCCATACTATGCCAACAATATTTATTATTTTAACACAAATATAATTATTATTTATTCAAAGAATTCTATAACATTAAAATGAGAGAAGTGATCAATTGATACCGGTATAAGTGTAAAAAAGTTATACCAAATCTTACACTGTTGATTTGGTTAAAATCAACGGATGAGATTAATTAATTGTAAATTAATTATTAGAAATTATTAAAAGACAGTTTTAATTAATTTTATTTGTTAATTTTAACTAAATCAATGGTGTAAGATTTGGTATAAGTTTTTTACAGTTACACTTGATATCAATTGATCCCTCCTCTTAAAAGAACGATGAATTTCATCTCATTTTGATTTTATGATTAAAAAAATATCTATCGTATCAATGTAGGTATTCATAATAAGGTTATTAAATAAATTAAATGAATAGTGAATTTTTGAGCATAGACATGTGTAAAATTATGAGATAAAATTCTATGGTACATGTCACATTTATTATTATTATTATTATTATTACAAAAGAATTGTTTTATTTTGTGTACTATTCATTTTGATATTGAAAATAACCACCAATGGTCACACGTCATGTCTACGCTGACTGCATCTTCCAAATGTGAATACCTTAGACTTTTCAAACAATTTCTTTTTTATTTAATACTTGAATTTCCAAACAGACTATTAAACTATTAAAATCTTTCCATTAATTTGGTATTTTTCTTAAATTATTAGCAAAGTGGTTTGTAATTAAATTTAAAAAAGAAAATTGAAAAGATGTGAAATGAAGAATACCCCTTAACTCTCAAAAATATTTTTTTTATATTTTTATATAAAAATAGATTTATGTTTAAAACAAGTTGAAATTTAAATATTTTAATTAGATTAAAAATGAAAATATTGAGTTTAAGAATTTATTTTTATGCATAAATCCCAGCAGCGATCCTTCTTTCTCACACGCGCGAACGTTTGTGCAATTAAAAAATAATAAACAGTTACGAAATGGATAGCGACCGTCACGTGCGAGCGTGACGCCTTTCGGGTGCCCAACCTAACGCCCCACTCGACCGATATTCTCACGTACTAAATACAACCAAAGAAAAGGGAAAAGTAAATGCCGTCCGTCTCTCTCTCTCTCTCTCTCTCTCTCTCTGGCCCCCTTTGTCTCACTTCAAAAGTCCGAAACAAGAAACAGAGAGAGAGAATCTAATCGCCAAGCCGCGCATCCCAGCCTCAGATCTCACTTTCTCTCCCTGGCAATCAATTCCTTGCGGCGCCAGGCTCGAATCGATTCAGAAATTTAAGAGAGAGAGAGAGAGAGAGAGAGAGATTATTACGGTACTGATCGGGAATGGCGACTCTGCAGAAATTCAAGCTCCTAGCCACTCAATGCGCCGTCGCCGGAAGCCCTTCGCGGAGCCCTACAACGAGCCCCGTAATTCACCTCCGCCGCCGCAAAACCCTGCGGATGCTGCTCAGCCGCGCCGGCAGCGGGGGAGGCGCGGGCCGCCGACTCCCCCGACGCGAAGAATCGCCGGATCGGCGACGAAATTCCAATTCTCCGGAGAAGAACAAAGTGTTGGCGGTGAGCCACAAGCTCAAGGACCTATTCGTCTCTTCGCCGCCGATCGAGGAGAGGGCGACGGAGAAGGTCAGAGAGTCAGACGAAAGGCTTTTCCCGGGGAGCTCCGTCGCCATCGCAGATGTGGAGGTGCGGCGAGGTGGTCAGCGATCGGTTAGACCGTTATCGGCGACTTTACGGCAGCGATTGCTGAGAAGGGCGTGGCGTCCTGTGCTAGTGACCATACCCGAGCAGCCTTAGAAATGTGAGGGTGATGTTAATTAATTAATAATTATATTTTCTTGATTTAATATTTTGTCTTTTGCTCTGTAATTATTTGATTTAACATATTGGGATTACCGGATTTGAGAATCTGCTGAATATTTTTTGCTCGAAAATTTTGGGAAACTAAATATGATAATTAGGAACCTAGTCTTAATTTAAATTTAATTTAGATTAGGTAAAGCTATGATTTATTTTTTTAACTTATTTCATAGACCAAATTAAATTGCCTCTAAATATTTCAATTATATGTTTTATATATAAAAAAATAATTGACAATATATTACCAAAAAAAATTATATCCGCGTAAAATTGCTAAATTAGATTATTAATATAAAAATTAGTTTGGTAAATTGTATTAAAACCGACTAACAACCTGAATTTATTAAGAGAAATATAATTTTGACATGATAAAAATGTATTTGATATAAATCTTGCACGTTTAATTTTATGTTTAGTTTTAAAAATTTTAAAAGATTTTATTATTAATACAAATTTAATATATGTTAAAATGATTCAAACACCAATGATAAATAGATATACACACAAACAATTTTTGTTATATAAATTCAGTGTAACATGTTGCAACTCCTTAAAACACATATGATCTAGCTCTTTGCGCCAAACAGTCCCTAAAAGAAAACAAAGGGGTTGGGCCGCCGGCCGGTGCCAAACTTGATGCCAAACTCTGCCATGACTGGTGGCATCCATTCAGCCCTCTTTTTATCCACAGAGAACCAAAAAGGCAGAGGAAGAGGGTAACTAAAAATAGATGCTGTGGCACTTTATAGAGGCAAAGACTTGACCATGAACCACTTGTCATCCACCCTTTCATCATCCCTACCAATCACCATAATCTTTTTGACGCACCAAATTCAACTTTCACCTTTTGCAACCATTTTATATATATAGATTTATATAGATTTGGTGGTAATAGTAATATCTTTTTTATCTTACATAATTTAAAGTGAAGTAAAATTTATGATTTATAAATTTACAAAAGCCCTAGCCAAAATCCACATGTCAAATGAAATATTGCAATTTAATCTATATATAAATTTTTATGACACCCATCAAGATATAACAATAGGGCTGTAAATAGATTGGGTTTGAATGAAATTAGTTAAATCCAAATTTGATTAATTGTTTTCATATTCGAATTTGACCCAAAATTATATAAAATTTATATTTATTAAATCATACCTGAATCTGATATACAATCTAAAATTTGATAAAAAAAAATCCGATCTGACAAATAAATAACACTTTTTACATTTAAATCATTCAATTCTATCATGTCAATCATATTTATTCCTAAAATTTTTGATTTTCTTAATTTAATCTATATAACTTTGAATTTTTTTCATATGTATAATATTATTATTTAATAAAAATATTATTAAAATTTAGATTTGAATCTTTAACTGATTAAATTGCTTAAATCCATATCTGATCCAATTATTTTAGATTGTGACTATTTATTATCAAATTTAATCTATTAAATATTTTAATCAAATTTAAATATTAAAATTCGAATCGAATTTATGTCAGATTCAGATTAAAATTCAATTCATTAACAATCCTAAATAACAAAAAACACCTCTTGCTCTATACTGATTTTGATCAGAAACTAATCACTTTCGAGTCGAGAAATATGAAAAATTAAAACCCTCTTTAATAAAAGTGTTTGTAAAAGATTAATTTTGTATTTTTTATCTTTACTGCGACAAAGACAGCTTACCATTTCAACTAACAAGGTATTGGTTAGCTCTTGCTCTTGCTTCTATGATCTATAACCTATAGAATTTAGCGACTATCTCCCTAAAGCCCAAAATTTTGGGCCATGTGATGTTTGGCACAGGGCTTTTTTCAGAAGTCCTAAGAATTATCATAATGGTGGTGATGAAATCCTCGCAGCCGCCGGTGGCCATAGGGGAAGGGGTTGGTATTATTAGCTTAGGGCCAGGCCGACAGCAAATAAAGGTTTGGCTTTTATTCATTTTTCTAATTTGAATTTTGACAGTAGGATGAGGAGACATTGCTATCAAAATTCTATAATGCAACAAATTGAAGATAGACGACCGCATTCAGAATTTATAAATGGTGCGGGACCATTTTTGCAACTTAAATTCTAGTGTCGCCTTGACTTTGGCCAGAATAAAGACGTGTTTAGTTAAGACGTTTAGATGGAATCAATTAATTAATTATTAAAAAAAAAAAAAAAACACTGAAGGCTCACCCATTGAGGAAGCAGCCAGTATGTGAGGGCGCAAATTGCTCGGTGCTTCGCAAACCCAGGTAAAACTTCTGGTGTTGACTCTCGGCCAAGAAGATATCCAGGCCGTTCATTAGGAGGCGCTTGGTCACGATCCTCGGTCCAGCTTCATCAGCCGTCTAATCTTCGACTCCTGTGCGTGCTTCATCCCACAAAAGATGATCAGATCAGTTTGGAGTTGTTTTCAAAAGCTAGTTTCTCTTTTTTTAAAAAAAAAATTCTAGAAAATGATAATATTCTATTTTTTATGTTTTTAGAAAATAAAGAATACTGAAATCAATTTTCTATTCTTTTTTAAGTTTTCTATAACAAAAAAAAACTGAAAATATCCAAAATTATTATTTTTTTCAGTGAAAATAATTTCTAAAAATCTAACAATAAATTTTTGCAGCTATGTAAATTTTAAGGGTGTTTATCAAACTAGAGCGTAGTTGGCTCGGTTTGATTCATTTAATTTAGATCAGATTTTTTTTTCTCATAATTCAGTATGTGATTTGATTACTAAACTGAATAATATAAATCGTAAATTAAGTTTGAATTTATAGTTTAATCCTTTCACTTTTTTCTCTTCTTATATGATTTCTTCACTTTTTTTCTTTTATTATTTTAATCCCCAATCTTTTTTTCTTTGTGTTTTTTGGTTCCCTAATTTCATTTTTTTGCAATGGATTATAATCAATGCATTTTCTTTATTTTAATAGAATAAAATCCATCATTCATGTACCCTTTTTTTTTTTTTGGTAAGAAAAGACTTTAAATCCTTAGGTTCTACGTCTATTTGCCCCTTCCCAAACTTTATTTTATTTCCTTTGCATACCAAAAACAATGCAATTTCTTTGCATCCATGCCACTCTAATTAGCGAATTGACCACTTCTGATTTATAATTTAGTTTAGTTTAATTTTTAAAAATTATAAATTATAATATATGATTTAGTTTATAATTGAGTTTTAAATTGAATCAAATTAAATTATGAACTTTCTTAGTAAATTTTATTTTTTAAAATTGTTACCGCAAATCAAATAAAAATGAAAAGTGCCTTGAGAAAAAAACAAAAAACGAAATTACAAGAACTCCCAGGAAGTTGGATCATGGGGGGGTCCAGACCGCGTCGCAGAGAGACCGAAGGAGGCCTTCCTCCTGACATACGTGACCTTCGCTGCTTCAGTATGTGCTGTTCTTCCTTCACATATCTCTGTTCATATATACAAACTTTAATTAATAAATAGAAAAGATAATGGTCCCTCTTTCACCTCTCTGTAGGAAGGTTTCTTGAGGATTCCTCCGCAGAAGCCGGTCTCGGTCGGCCGTAGGCAGATTCAACCTACTAGAAACTATCTGTCGTGGTGGAATTTTTGTTTTAAAAAATTATTTTAGAAAATATATCTACTGTTTATAGGAATTTAGAATCATCTAGTTTTCTAAAGTGTAGAGAGAGAGAGAGTTGGACTTTCCTCGTTGCTCGTTAGCCGCGTTGAACATCATAACATATATTTCTTTTATTTATTAGGGAGGCCGGCTTTATTTATTGATCAATTCTAAGTGCTTGTGTTAGTGATAAATATAAAGTTGATTATAACAAAATGAAAGTTGGAGATAATTTCAATTGGTAGGGAGATTGATAATATTAAAATGAAGGTTGGAGATCATTTTTGGTTAGCAGGAAGATAATTTTTAGTTTGTAGGTTAGGAAGTGTCTTTATCAGATTTTAATATTGCAAATAATAGTTGGATTTCTGAGAATAGGCATTGAGAACTTCCTAAGTGTTTTTCAACTTAAAGTTTGGTCTTGACATTCTTTGTTTATTTTTGGAGAGTTTGTCTCGTGGTAAGTAATAAGTTTTTAAGACGAGAAATGATCAATTGACACTTAATTTAAGTATAAAGTACTTACATCATATCTCACACTGTTGATTTAGTCAAAATTAATGGATGACATTAATTGACATTAATTTTCAATATCTTCCAATAGATAAAATTGATATCATTCGTTGATTAATATTTTCTAATGGATAAAATTAATGCTATTTGTTAATTTTGATTAAATTAATAGTGTAAGATGTAATATAAGTATCTTATACTTATACAAAGTGTCAATTAATCCTTTCTTCTTTTAAGATAATATCTTTTTATTTATTTATTTTTCAATAGAGTTCATTGTTTTTACTCTTGACAAATTCGTTTACCATATCAAATTACAAACCTCGCACAGTTCAGTTCACACCAAAGACAAAATAGGAGCCTATGCGGATGCATTAGAGGTTGAAAATTCTAATTTCCAACCTTGTAAAAGAAAAGGTGTTGTGGAACTACCATCACCCAACTCTAGACCTACTGTCAGTTTCACGTCAAAAGAATCTGCCCGACTATCCTCAAGTACAACTATGGCCTGTTTTGAGTCTATCACACATATTGAATCACCCAAATAGGCTTTTTCATACCCCCAACGCATTTCATTTTCAACCATATTCATATAATTAGATAAAATTACACTTCCATCTTTTAGATTCGCCAAAATTAGTAGTGGAATTACTACTCTAAGTAGTATATCAAGTGACAGTCATTTGGTAAAACAAATGGCAATTCTCCTAAATGACAAATACTTATTGAATTTTATGAACTTTTAAAACACACACTCGTGAATTTTGATCGTAACAAATTTTCTTCAAAATTTTTCAAATATAAAGTGTTTAATCTTCAATCAA